ATCCTACGCTGCATCGCTGCCTCTCCATTTACCGGCTGGAGCGATAGCACGCACGTCGCCTATCTACCCTAAGGAAGGTGTGACTCATCTGGCAGCGATACGCTTGACCCCGCTTACCTCAAACCAGCGCCGATAGCAGCGCAACAAGAAAAGTGAAGCTAAGTCAAAGAGGGTGCGTCAGTATCTGTGCCCTCTTGCTACCGCTTAAAACAGCACGCCTACTGTGAACATGTCTCGTGTGAAGAGCAAATGCGAATCATGTGCTAAAGTGGTACAAAATGGTCTGGTGTGTACTATATGTTTGAAATCCTATCACGCTACCTGCCTGGGGACAAAGTCGACATAAACAAACACCGCAGAGGCGTTTTGGTTCTGCCAAGTATGCAACTCTATCCCATTTGTTAGCTGCCTAGCTGTGCTACTGAAGAGGTGTGAAAGACTAACCGAAGCTGGTGAGCGTCAGAGTTACACCCATGGGAGGAAACGGACCTGCACTTGTGAGTGAAAATAGCACCCCGAATTCCCTAGTCAGGCCGAAGAAACGAGCCAGGCGTCCCAACCTAACCCCAACGACTCAGCCTGCAGCAGTATCAACTCTGTTCTCTCTACCTCCTATAAGTAAAAACAGTGCCTGTAGCGCGCCCGTCTCAATTCTGTACTGGGTGCTGCACCTAGTAGTCTGTTCGCTACACACGAGACCGTAAGCTACAGTCAACCAGCAATAGTGAACATCCCGGCAACGTACGCACCGGTTGCCGTCAAGCAAACACCGGTAACCTTTGTGCCCTGCCTAGAGAAAACAAAAGTGTCGCAGCATGGATGGCACACATCAGTGCCGTTCACAAATTCACCAAACACACCGGATACTAAGCCTCGAAATCCAAAACCAGTAGCCACCAGGCGCAACCATGGTGCCCTAAACATTGTATGCACAAATGTCCCCGAATCAAGATCCAATACAATTAAGGGTAAGTTGACGGACGATCGAAATCAGTGGGGTTCCATCTGTATGTCCATCGGTGTCCACGCTAATCTCACGACATTAAAAAGAGTCTCGCGTCACCCAAACGCGTTGCACTACGGCGAACCCCGGTTACTTCGGGTAACACTAAACTCGGCGGACGAGACTGATGACGTTCTGCTGTCTGCGAATCGTCTCTGCCACGACTCAAGTGGAGTGCGCATACTACCCGAAATCCCGTGGAAAGAACGTTCAGTAGATCCTGCTAACAAACAGAGGTACCGAGAAATTCAAGATAAGAAAACAGTGATTACTCACGGTGTTCCTGAGCTTACCGACTCCTCTTCCGACGATGCTCAGATGCACGACCGCGAGCAATGGCACTACATCCGGGAGGCTCTCTTGAAAATGTGGTGGTCACCTCGTTGACAAAGATCCCCATATCACCAAACTATAAGGGGTGCGGTCCCAGGCTGTTAAAACTTGTGTTACAGTCAGAACTAATGGCACAAACCTTACTAAAGAACTGGATTAAATTCCGTTGCAGATTGCCAACAGAAATTCGGCTGAAAGCAGCAGGAACTCCAACATCTTTTAATGACAATTCAGTAGAGGCACAACTCTTAGTGAAAACGCTAACTGCAGGACCCGACGCGGGGACGGTTTCACCAGTAGCCATAATATCCGGAGGGACACTGCAGAGCACGAGCAAACACCGGGATCCGAGGCGTATGATACCTGCTTACATATCAAATACTTCTCGAGAGTATGCAACCCATCCAAAAAACGATTAGTCGCCGACACTTTATTGGTCGGCGTAAACTCACTTGCTTCATCCATCCAAACTAACACACTTTTGGTCTCCGAGAAGCTCTCATGCATGTACACAAATGCCCAAGGTCTACTCAGCAAATTAGCTGAATTAAGACTTCGACCCGCGTCAGCAGCTTGGGACCTCATCGCTGTCACCGAAACGTGGTTGCGCCGCGAGCTAACGGATGATGAAATCGAGCTAACGGGCATGTCCGTTCTTCGGAAGGATCTAGTCAGCAAAGGTGGTGGGGTAGTCCTCTACTTTTGTAACAACATGCAATGCGAACCCATAAACGATTTGGAAACCGACGTACCTGACACCATTTGGTGTAGTTTCCGGCTGAGAAGGAACGATCTTGGCCTATTGGTTGTTGTTTACCGCCCACCATCGTCTACACCTGAGATGGACTGCAATTTGATGGCTGCGTTGAGGTAAGTGATAAACAGGAAATACAGTCACATTCCAATCACCGGGGCCTTCAACTTACATGCTCTAGAATCCCAGGCCACACCAGGACAGCAATTCAAAGCGGACCTGCAAGAGCTGGTTTCAGACTTCCCGCTTTATGGCCACGTCACTACACCCACCAGGTTCAGGGAAACTGACAGGCCATTCATATTGGACCGAATGTTCACCAATGAAGCACTGCTGGTCGAGAGAGTGATAAGCGATACTCCTTTGGGCCGCAGTGATCATGCGACGCTAGTGTTTCATTACATGTGCTACTCGGGTTATCCTAAAGAGCATGCCGAGAAATCTCATGTCGTAACCAACTATGACGACCTGTCCGACCTCATTAAAGCAACAAGCTGGTCGTTCTTAGCCGAATTAACCCCTGAGGTGGTCTGCGGAGAATTTGTCAACATATGTACCAAGCTCGTGGCAAGGACATCTGAAACCAAACTCTACCGGCCTAGAACGATGAAGTCTTTCGTAAGGAGGAGGACACGTAAATGCATAGCATTAAAGGATTTGGCAGGGCACACATACATAACCTCCCCGAACGACCATACCTGGGATGTCTACACAATACAAAGCAACCACTATGTCAAACTCCGGGAGGATAAACTTAAGGACCAACAAGGTCTAGTGGAAAAGTTTTGCTCCAATCCTAAACTGCTATACAGACACGTAAACAATTTGCGTCGTTTTAAGCGCGGTATTCGTGCTCTGCCCACAACATGTGGGTTAGCCCAAACTGCACAAGAGGCGGCCAATGTTCTTGGACAACAATTTGGCCGTACCTTCCAAAGCGGGCAATCATCACGCATCCTGTCTAAGCAGATAACGCCGCCATCAGGGCTTAATCACATATCGCTTACCTCCGCAGCTGTAATGAAGAGACTGATGTTTTTGCGCGAGTTCAGCTCCCCGGGTGCGGACGGCATTCGCCCGAAGGCTTTGAAAGTTGCTACCATGAGTTTGGCAGGACCACTAGCAATTTTCTTTCAACGCTGTCTGAACGAGATGCACGTCCCCACGATGTGCAAGCACGGAATCATTACGTCAATCTACAAAAGTGGCAGTCATGTTGAACCAGCAAATTATCGTCCGATAACACTATTTCCTGTGATCTCCAAGGTTATGGAGTCCATTGTAGCTGAGGCTTTAATGGGGTACCTGGAGAACAACCAAATTCTCGTTCCTGAGCAGCACGGATTTCGCCAAAATCGCTGCTGTATCACTACTCTGTTGATTGCTCCTGCAAGCTGGACGAAATCTGTGGACGCTGGTGTAGGAGTCGACGCGGCCTACTTGGATTTCTCAAAGGCATTCGACAGCATAGACCATCGCATTCTACTGCACAAACCCCAGAAATATGGAATCGGCGATCCTGTTCTGGGCTGGATAGGAGACTTTCTCGTGCAACGTCACCTGAATGTGAGGGTTAGAAGCAACCTGTCAGAATCCATCGAAGTTCAATGCGCAGTAACTCAAGGCTCGTTACTTGGACCCCGCCTGTTCCTGGTTTTCATAAAAGATTTCTCGAGTGTTCTATCTTCTAACCGTTTGCTATTTGCTGATGATCTAAAGGTATGGCGTACTATAGCTGCAGTGGAGGATCACACAGTGTTACAGGATAACCTGGACAAAGCGTACACCTGGTCCATCGAGAACATGTTGCATTTCAACGTCACCAAGTGCAAGGTTCTCAGCATACAGCACAAGAATATGTACAAGTACCGCCTAGGACCACAAATTCTACAGCGGGCTTCTCACGAGTGAGATCTCGGCGTGATAGTTCAAGATGGGCTCGGTTGTTTGAGGCAGACTGAAAAGGCAGCTAAGAAAGCAAACCAGTACCTCGGCCTTCTTCGCAGAGCTTTCGCGAAGTTTAACCCTTCAGTGTTTCCAAAAATGCTTAGTGCGTACGTAAGGTCGCACGCAAAATACGCTATTCAAGCGTGGCAACCCTGGCTCAAGCACCATCTCACCGCGCTCGATACTGCACAAAGTAGGGCATCGAAGAGCGTCAGAGGTTTGACCAGCCTCCCCTACCCACTCAGGCTGAAGACCCTCAAATTATACAGTGGACGTTATCGGCGGATAAGGGGCGATCTCATAATGGTGTACCTAATCCTGAGAGACCCCAACCACCCATGACATTCCGTTCTGATACTCAGTCAAAACACCTCGCTAAGAGGTCAGCAGTTTACGTTGGTCGCGCAGTACAGCCGCCTGGAATGTCGGCGAAACCATTTCTCCCTTCGAGTTGCACAACCTTGGAACGCCCTCCCGGAACATGTAATTAATGCATCCACCCTATCCCTTTTCAAAAAACGCCTTGACGATACTCTGTCACATTTACACTACGTGATATAGCCAATGACCACCAGATGCTGGCACTAATGCACAGCAGACAGCGGTTAGTGCCATAACCCTAGTCGATAATGAGTCACTTCAAACCCCTTGCACGAAATTTGATAAATGCTACTACAATAGAAACTGGATTTCTGTATCCTGTCGACCCAAGATAGTTGCACATGAGTAAGCGTTGTCCTTGCCATTTTTTAATTTTTTTCTCGCCTATTGTGTGAACAATAACCACTCCCCTTATTGCTTTGTGTGCGTACATTCTCATTTCAAACTCCCTTTATACGGCAGTGCAGTTAAATCTGTAATCGCCCAAACTGACGACCTCATTATCCCTTGATCTATCTTTTTTTCACTCTAAACACCCTACGGGACATATCAAGCACCTGCATTTTTACCCGTTATGACTCATTGTTCAGTGTTCATTGAAGCAGCTCTGTTAGGGAGGTACTCAATAAACATATACTTTTATTACAATGCGTGGTTGCTTGTTTGCGTTTTGCTACCGTTTGTTTCTTGGTAGTTGTTTAAAAGCAGCAATTGTTTGCTTTGATTGGCTAGCTAATGGCGTTCGAAATAGATGCCGGCTCAGGTGCCTGTTTTGCTAATTTTGTTTCCTCGAACTCGTCTGATTGGTTCGTTATTTTGCCACTTCTCATTCACCCGTATTATTCTTTGTTTCCTATGATGTTGGTTGACTCCAAGCTGTTTTAGTAGCTTTGCTTCATCCAGCTTTGTACCCTATAAAAGGAGACTGTATTCTCATGCATACAATTCGCTTTTGGCTAGTTTTCGTGTTCTTCCTGTAATCGTGAGGATGTGCGCAATCGGCATCGACACAGCATGAAACCTGGTACCAACACCAAATACTATAATACCTTAATGCAGCAGTAGGGTTATTGGGAAACTCTTTTTAGCACCGCGTCGGTAAATGTAACTTTGTCGGTAGTCAGAAACCAGTAAAACCATCAACTAGGGCCCTTTATAATTCTTGTTCTTCTACCCTAGTCTCGTTCTGATCTGAATTGTAAAACTGAGACAGCACCAAGAAGTGACACAAAATTAACTCCCGGAATTCCGATGAAAGTTGCGTCATATTGGACCCTTAACCAGGCACCAGTAGGAGTACTGTATGCTTTGCTTGTGGGTTTGCATAGTGCTTTTAAGAAATTCTTCAAACTTGGCTCAAGTCGGATAGCTACTGCATGTCACGAATAGTGACGGACGACTGGTTTGTCATTTTCGAACTCACAAGAAACACCCGATCTCTTGAATAACATGGGATTAAAATGGTCGACTATACTTTTGTGACGGCGACGACGTGCTCCCCTGAACCATAAGCCACGTTAGGTCATTCGGTCCCCCATTGCCCCCACAGTGTGATGGGCAGAGGACAAGCACATACTGAGTCATGACAAACGGCATGTATTCGGGGTATATACCGCTGTTTGTTAGCCAAATTCTGTGGGATGAAGCGGTTTTTCATATTTGTGTCAGTTTGGTCACTGTCTGACTGGGTCAGTTACGATGAGCATCTTAAAGTGTACTTGTGAATCCCAGGGCTAATCTCTAATATTTCCTGCTTATGTACTTATGCTACACCACCGCATTTATGGCCGTGACTTGGATTATAGCATACCACGCTCTCTCCATTAGCCGCACCGCGCAGGGATTCGCACTGTCGCCTCATCTCGGTGACAGTTTCATTGCTAAATCGTGGCATCGCAGTGAGTCCAACGAGATGGCCACTAGGCACACGTAGCCAAATGAAATGCAACCGGCGTGGACGCAAGCGTCGCTCATCTCGTGACCGGACCTCCCGGGCAGTCGTGTCAAACGTCCCATAGCTTTACAAGAGAGTATCATTTTAATAGGTAAGAAACGATGAATGTGCATGGGGAACATGGTTAGCTATCATTCGGATTTGTTCATGTTGGGGTACTTCCCCAAATGTTCTTGAAAGTACGTGCCCCTCGGTTCGTTGTATTCGTACTGCGGGTTATGGTTCCAGGTGAAGTGCTTTATCACCGAGATGAGTGAGTTTGACCTTGCAGCTCGGGTCATACAGGTAAGTTTTCTCGATAATAATTAATCGGTGGTTTCCAAGGTGCGTGAATCACTTCGATGATATCAGCGAACACCTGTAGACGAGTCACAATGCGCCCCATATGTATACGGTTTTCGTCACGTCTGTTCAAAAATGAGATATCTGGAGTGCCTGGATGCACAAGCTGCATATCATCGAAATACTTTTGCATTATTTGGTAGTGAATGTACTCGCGTTTTGCGTAGAGGAACCATTCGGTGGCCATCTTGATGATCTCCAGTCGCAAGGGGTAATTATGGCGGGCTGATCTAAGCACATGCCACTCCGGATGGTGCCGTGAACAATTGGCCAATGACGACTTCAGGCTTTCTTCCTTGGAGATGGCTCTGTTCCTCAACTCCAAAGTAATAAAACAAGTGTCCATCTCCCTATCGATCATACGTTTGGTCACAATCACATTCGGGAACTGATCCAATACCTTACTGTTTAGTTTATACGGCAGTTCATCATCATCTGCAATGTATACTCGATCAAGATTCTCATGGCTATCCATCAAGAGATGATTAAATTTTGCATGGTGATTGCATTCATGCAACCAATATCGGTTACAGCGTATGGGTGAAGCGGAAAAGGTAGAGCGGTCGTAAAAGTTTGAGTATGCATATCCCTCATCGACCAGCTCATAGAGGTATGTGTCTGGGAACCGTCTTGACTGAGGAATGAGAAATAAGTCTAATTTAACTAGCTTGTCCATATCGGTTGAACATTCGCTTTCCATGAGTAGATAACGCTGAGGTAGACACGGTTGGGTCGCGCGTAGACAGTTCATCCGAACGTTGATGGCGGCATACACCACTCTGGCTGTGAGGTGTGTACCGCTCCCCAACGACAGGTCTACCTTCAAAGCAACAATAGAGTAGATGCCTCGGGGCACAGAAACATTTTGCTCTATTAGAAATCCGTTTGTTCCCAGATAAGACAGATTGTGAATCACTGAGAAGCACACTCGCCCAACCTCTTTGAGAGAAATACTGAGCACCTCGCAAATACCCCTTCCTCGAATACAACACGTCGTCTGTCCTTTGTATACTGAGCTCCCACTTTTCAGTTGTGCTACCTCCGGGTAGTGCAGAATTAACAATAAAAACAGTAGGGACCAGTTAAACATGTGGGGGGAAGATCTTCGGTTGCATCCTTCGGTAAACGACTGCATCTGGCTGTCCGAAAATTCGGAATATGTTTGAAAGGTAGCTCAATCGATTGAAGGTATGCAGCGGCTTGGGGCGCCAGCCGGTTCATTTAACAATCCACTACGAACAGTGTTCCGTTCTAGCTTTATCAGTAGTAAAATAGGGTTAACTACTGAGATTGAGCGCCATTCCCGTATCGGACCATAAGATTAGTTGAAGAACCATATTTATCATTCCATTGACTCATTTTGGTCACAGGTTTGCGACGCCCAGGCTAAATGTCTCGTGTTTACAGATAGCTCATGTTAAGCCTGCTTGATACCAGCTTCGCGCATACTGTTTCCATGGTGTAGAGCCGTTAGGTAATGCTAAGAGAGTTTAAGCATAACGGCCAACGGGAACACAATTGCTGCTACCAGATGAGATGCGACGTATCATTTTTACCATCAACTACTGCATTGCATACCACCTTAAAATGCTGGCTGGAATAAGTACGCAAGGTGCAATAGCAAAGTGAGGCTAGTTTGCAAGCAATACACCTGTGCAACATTTACACATTCAGGTGTGAGCCACTAGGCAGTTGTGTAGAATACGCAAGGAGTGAGTATCATCTACGTCTGCATGGGATTTAGCTTACCTGCTGTGGACAAGCAACAATGAAAAATGACATTCTATGGGCGAAACAATAAATGCGTTAGATAACCCAATAGATGAGAGGGCTGAGTAGTGGAATGCGATGTAGGGCTCATTAGATTAAGTTTGCATGAGTATTCAGATGCTCTTGCCCAGTCCCCGAAGTCAGTCTGGCAATAGTAAAATTGCATTCCATCCATTTTCACCTTGACAACCCAACCGAAAATATACACAAATACGGCGCCATATTTACAAATTCAAGCAACATAGCCACACATATTCATACCTGCACACATTCATATATAATTATCACCTAGATCTATATACTGCTGATAAACTTGTACCGTTATTTATATTCACCGGTCCCGAATGTTCATATCCCCATGATCATGCTTATGCAAGCGTCTCCCGCATTATCGCGAATAAGACATTTATTTATTTATAGATGTGTTAAAATAGCCTATTTAATTGCTTGAGTACAGCTAACTTGACACAGACGACAGTCATTCAAAGCAGTAGTTGGTAGCATCTATGAACATAGCTGAATTTAAACCGAATGCTTTCAGCGATGTTCTGATGAGATACAGGTCCCATACTTGGAGGGTACGTACAACACAGATACCACTGCGTCAAACTCGACATAATTGAAAGGGTATACCCTCAATAGGACCTTATGGTAAGACTTTGGACTAACCCAAGACACTTTACAGATATGTGAACAAGCTTCATGGAGTTTGACGCGGAATTATTACTCTACATGCAGAATATGGTGTAACCCAAACGGGATAAGAGGCGGCCAACGTTCCTGAACAACAATACCCCGATACCATTCAAAATGTATTGTTATCTAAGGTGCTTCATTCTCAGATCTTACAGACAGCCGGCCCGAAGAATAGCCTCCTTGCGGAGCCAGCTGCGTGGTCCGTGTTAATTCCGCTCTAGCGAATGGTTGGGCGGCAGCGTTCCTGGAAGGAGTGGGTTGCCGCCTGGCAAGCATTCTCTCTATAAAAAGCCACAAATGTCTACGTAACAACGCAGCAAATGTGACGCGCAACTAAATAAGACCACTGCTACTTACGTATCTGGATGATATTACCCAATCATCTGGCGTCCGTCATCCAATACGAAGATTTCCTCTCACCTCTTCTCATGCCAACGACCTGATCAAAAACAAGAACAACTACGGCGTCATATTTACAATTTCATGCAATAAACAATGCCTGGTTGGCGGCATCCGGTTTCGGATTTGCCTGTCACTGTGGCAAGCCACAGGACGCCTCCGACTACAGAGTGACCATGGATGGCTTGCGCTGCACCACCCACAGCTCCATACACACACACACACACCCCATATCCAGTGTAAACCCGAAGGAATAAGACCGGGTGGCATGCGGATGGGAACCATGTTTCATCAACGGAGCCGGCCCACACACCTTCACAGGCAAACACAAGCACACTCTATTTGGGGAATCAAGTGCACACAAGGCGGTGGCTGGACCGTAGTCCGCTCCACACTGAGTGCATGGAACCACTCTTTGATCCTAACAAGGCCACAAGGACCGTGCACCCTGTCCCCTCCAGCAACGACCAACTGTCTCCTGGAGCCAGTATGGACGAGGTAGTGGGTAATAGACAGGTAGGCACCTTGTCAACATGCACATCAAGCGCATCCACACCGGGGATATCAAACAACCGCCAAACACTTGAAAGAGAGAAAGAAAAGAAGGAGAAAAATTCGATTAATGCAAAAGGAAACGGTGATATAAACCTTAATTAAATAGCATATGTAATAAGTTGTTTACAAACAAATCCTAGCTAAGTACACGAGGTCAGGAAGTATGGTTCACGGAATGCCACGAACGCAAAAATGTTATGGAAATCGAATACAATTGGCTGAAGCGATGTGTGCAAGTTAATGAAATAGAGTACGGGGAGATATTTATATGAGAAAGAAAAGCATTAAGGTAAAAACTGTAAACCCACCACCTGAAATAAAGAGACTTAGCATGCAAGCACGCGGTTAGTAAATCGAATTCAGCGTGCCTACAAACGCTGCGCCGGCTCGCCGTAATTCTCTGCAGGACCCGTCGTCGCTTCTGTAGTGGTCCCAGATGGCACAGCTCATGGCCCACTAGACATTTATATGAGAAAGAAAGGCATTAGGAGAGAACCGAAAACCCACCACCTGAAATAAAGAGACTTAGCATGCAACCATGCGGTTAGTAAATCGAATTCAGCGTGCCTACAAACGCTGCGCCGGTGCTGCCTACGTTCACTGCTGGACCCGTCGTCGCTTCGGCAGTGGTCCCGAGTGACCTCTCTCATGGCTCACTAGGCCTGCCTGACTAAGGCACTCGCGACCGCATGTTCTACAGCACAATGCGCTCGGTGTCGATGGAGTACAATTCATCGGTGCTTGCCGCTTCCGCAACTGCCGCTTCTTCTCTGCATGCATGAGGGATTTCTCCCGCACTTCAGCAACTGCCTTCGTGATTAGATCGCGCCATGCACCACGATCAACCGCCTTCGATTCCCATGATCTGCAATCAAGATTAGAACGTATGAGCCTCACTTTAATCATGTCCTGGTAAGGTAACTTTGGTTTCCCCACGTGCCGCTTCCCAATACTCAGCTGACCGTATAAGAGTTGTTTCGGGATCCGAGCCGAATCCATAGGGCTCACATGACCGAACCATCTCAGGTGTCGCAGCAAAAGTATGCAGTCCACTGCATACATCCCACTTCGGCGCAACACTTCCGTGTCTGCAACTCTGGCGCCCCAACCGATCCGCAAAATTCGTCGCAGACACTGCTGATGGAACCGCTCGAGATATCGCACATCCCGACGGTACATCGTCCACGTTTCACTGCCGTATAGAAGAACGGACAGTACCATGGATTTGTACACCATCAGCTTCGTGCCCATGGTAAGCTGACGGTTGTTCCACACTCGGTACTCAAGCTTCCCGAATGCCGCTGCTGCCTTCGACACGTGATTACGCAACTCAACGTGTAGCTGCTGATCAGTCGACATCACGCTCCCAAGATAGTTGAAACGGAAGGATGTTTCCAATACTTCAGCACCAATGCTGATTCGCGGCACTATTGAAGATTGCATCTCCGGTGAAGGCTGAAACAGACAGACAGTTTTGCTTGTGTTGATGGTGAGCCCGAATTTG